GTAGCAGAAGCTGTGCCTTTGACAAAAGAATGAGAAAAAAATTAATTCAGGTCCTTCCCCTACTGCAGAATACATATATGTCCTTAGTTATGAAATATCTCAATTACTCCATTAACCATCTATAAAAAGGAGATAGAATGACTTATGCTAAAAAGGCTTTGTGAAGGTATATATATATTTTTTGCAAATAGTATGATATTCTCAGAGATCAGTGTAACGGGGACTATCAAAATCACATGCACATTCACAGATCCTATTTGTGGTTTTGAATTTCAACTATGTGTCATTGATTTAACGAGCATGGAAAATAGGTGTATAGCTGTACCTCATTACTACACATTGTGTGCTCAAGAAAAATGGTAAATATGAAACGAGAGGTTTTGCTTTGTTCGCGGAAAATAAGTTCTTACAGATCACCACTTTATAATTGGTTTTGGGTCTATCTGTTCATTCTTAAACATTAATATATAGAAATTAGTTAAAATCAACAAATGCCAGCAATGTGATAGGTACTCTGCAGACTGGGAAGCCAGCATAGCCCTAGCTTCCAACTGGTCCAGCTCCGAGTGTGCGTGTTGTGAGCAGTGATTGTGGTTGTGAGAGTGCTGAGCTTCCTCCACCTCATCCCAGTCAAGCAGTTGGCTTGAGAAGCTAATGCTGAAAGGGACCAAGAGGTCTCTTGTCATGTCCCCATGGATGGGGGCATCACAGATGTGAGCTCAGGCCACAGATGACACGTCGGAGCGTGAGAGATTAAATAGTGTCTGAAATAAAGGCGATGACTCCAATGGAGCCAGGGCTTCCTGCAAAGAATTTCTCATCTACTAAAGCTAGTCCATAGTTGGTTGATTATGTGGGCTTGATTGTGGTGCACAAGTACCTTGTCAGGGAGAATATACTGAGTGCTCTTTAATCAAGCAGAGAAGGGCTTAACAAGACCTTGGATATCTTTATAATCAAGACTGGATGCCTTCCTGAAGAATGCACTTTATTCAAAATGCTTGTGAGCTCAGGGTGGGTGTGATTCTGTGGCCTGTCTATACAAGAAACTGGATTTAGTATTCCTTAGGCTTAAAATCTCCTCACTCATTTTTCCTTTTTCTCTACATAAAAATCTAATTTGGACTGATCTTTTTTTATTTCTTAGCTGGAAATAACTGGTTGCATTGGTGCAACAGTGAGTGTTGTTATCAGACAAGTCTGAATCTGAAACTGAAATTGCTGCTTGGGCACTAGATGTGTACTGCTTCCTTAAGGTCAGAGTTCCTCACACGGTCAGTTGTGTCACCGGTGCATATTTTTGTAGGGTTTACTCAGGACACGCTTAGTGATTTTTATTTATTTATTTATTTTTAATATTTTTTTCTCCTGCTGAGTAGAAGTGGGTGGAGACTTCACCACTGTCATCATAACACTCTACTGCAGAGGTTTGCAGTCCATGGTCCCACAGACTATTCGGTTAATGAATTCTTTTGATGTTCAAAACCATCCTTTTGTTCAAGTCAGATCTCAGGTCTGAGAGGCAATTGTAGAATGTCTACCCCAAGGAAAGGGTGCCCTTAGAGACTGGTTTCTTGTATGCTTATGGCTAAGCAACTGTAGCTTCAGATAACATTGCCTTTTATGTCCTAGTCACTGAGCTCTGGTTTTAGACCACCTCTGTTTTTTGGAAGGGAGCACAAAAGCCAGAGGTGGTGATGTGCCAACTTTAATAGTCTATGATAACATGTCAATCCTCCTTACTAACTAGCATTTTGTATCATGAAAGCTGTGGGTTTGCTTCTTGATGCTCAAACAAAATGTGTTAGCTATTCCATCCAGACCCCTTTGGTAGTAAAACTTATGCTAGCTTTCACCAGATGGACACAAGGGCTGACTGCAGTTGTGATTTCTGTGGGCTGTGCCCAGCACAGTCGGTGCTGGCTGCCACCAGTGACTCCCGAGGACACAGCTGCCACCTCCTGAGACTTGCCTGAATAATGTGCAAGTTCTGATCTTCATGGGTTTGAAACCACAACTCTTTTTATGTATTTTTTTTCCCCTCCTCTTATTTTCTGAAAATAATAAGATATTTTCTGTTTTTTTCCTTTCTGTAACAGATACTTTCTTCAACTCTCCATGTGACTTTAAGCTGCACTCTCTATTCAGCTGGAAATCAAGCAACAAAATGTTGCTTCACAACTGACAGATTTGGTTTCCGTCTGCTTTTGAGCTGCATTTCTGGATGAAAGGGGGATGTAGAGAAGATGCCACCTTTTAGCTAGCAGCTATATCATTAGGGAGTTCAGAAAAGTTCAGATCCAAGCTTCGGCTTCTGTTTGTGAGTCTTGAATGGCTTAAGAGATGGAAAGTATGAAGAGCAGGCGATAGCCACACAGAGCACTCCTTCCTCTAGGCAGTGGGGCATTTCCCTGCAGGGCAGGCGAGCAGCATCCAGCCCAGGGCAATGCCCCATGTTACAGGCACAGTTGGGTGCTGGAGGCAAAAGGAGACAAATAAATATCAGAAAAGGGAGCTAAGCAAGAGATGAGGTGATGATTATTAAATGTAAGCTTTAGAGGGGATAAAAGCAGAGCTATGTTACAGGGATGTGCAGTAGTGGAATGTTCTCATTCTGAAATTATATGTAGCTGCCCATTAAATGCAAACCTAACTTGAATACATTTTAATCTAAAGCATGTTTGACTGTTTTATGTTAATTAAGAGATCCAAAAATAATAAAAAAATATTTACCTACCTTTGAGCCCATCCTCTGTCATCTCTCATTATTGTCTAACATTTTGGGTCCCAGTTTGGTGTTGGATGGTCTTTTGCCCTCCAGTGTTCAGCAGTTTCTTGTGCTGGTAACCTCTTAGTTTAACCCTGGGCTTTGTCTGGCTGTCTGCCTGCATCCCTTAACACTAGCAGGTTTGCTTTCATTGGGATGTTCATTCAGTTACGTCCCTCAGGAACATCCAAAATCTTGCCAGGCAAATTACAGGAGAGGGGGAAAATCCCAAATAAAATACTGTTGTGTTTCATTTTGGTTGAAGTATGATGTTGCTTTAATCTATACTAGTTATTAACTCATCTTCAGATTGTTGACAGAGTTATAATGAAAACATTATTTTCACTGGAGGAGTTAAGACAATAGTGATGTCTCATTAACGTTTTTATTGTATTGGAGACTAGGAACAATGTATTTCACATCACTGTAAAATGTGAATGTGTTTTTTTCCAAGTACAGAACAGCAATATGTATCAAGCTACTTTCTGTGTGGTTTAGGATTTTGCAGCTTTGTCTAATACCCAGCCTATACCAGCTCTGGAATTCCATTTATTCCGGATGTATTTGAAGAGCCCTCTCAGCCAAATGTATTCTACTAAAGCCTATGGTTTCAATTATCAGTCATCTTCTTTTTCTAGCTTCAAATTTAATCTTCATTGATGTCATTTTCCCTATACTTTTATTGCTGTGCTTCTTACTGCTGCTCACATCTTCCATCCTAACTAGGATCATTATTTTAATCAGACGACCTCTTTATGGTTTCAGAATTAAGTGCTTTGGAAGGGAAGGAGACACTGCTGTGTTAAGATCTGAATGCTATTTACAGGTTTTGTTTGCTTTCTGGTTTTGCACGTCTGTTTTCATCTTTGGACAACTGACTTTAAAAAAAAATAATCAAACAAGTGAACAAAAAAGCTCTGGGTTTCTGCTAGTTAGCTATCATGTATTGAATTGTATATGTTAAGGTAATATGTGAATTTGTGGTTATTGCAAGAGATACCACGTGATTCACAGGACAAAAGAATCACTGTGATCAGGTAAAATGTCTTCAGAGATCGAAGCTCTTGAGCTGTGTGTGCTAACTTCTGATCCAGTTGCACTTACTGAGGGCTGAAAATTACATGTCCACCTGGTTACAGCAAGAAGTTGAAATATGCTGTTGTAAATCCATAAAAAATGCTCACAGATAGTTACAGTTTCTTTCTACTTGAATGGGAGAACCAGCTAATTACTTGGAGATGATCCTGGAAGATCTTGTAGTTGTTAATTTGGTGGGAATACTCATTCATATTATGTAATTTTTGTGTTTGTGTCAGGAAACAAGGAGTAATGTTTAATGGCTGTAGTCCAGCACATTTGTTTCAACATCTGTGATAAGAAAATGACCTCATTTTCATGAGAAGGAACAGACTCATTTCAGAAAGCAAACCAACCCAACTGATTTCCTTGGCATATGGTTCTCGTTGCTGGCTATTTCAGGCATATGGGTGGGATCTGGGTTGAGGTTGTCACCTGAGTGTGGATTGTCCCCCTGGTCAGCACTGACCACAGCAGTCAGAGACAGAGATTTAGCTCATCCTAAAGCAGGCACCCTGAGCTTGGCTCAGTGGCCCACAGGTGGGTGTCTAGAGCTGTCTGAGACAGACTCTGACATGTGGGATGTCCCCGTGGACATCTTCAGTCAGGCAGAGGAGAATTTGGGGCACTAATGTTTCTAATTCTTCCTTCTCACTTTCAAATTTTTCAAGTTATTTCATACTTCAGCTTCCGTGTTTCCTAACCTGAAGCTTTCCTTGTCTTCTCTCACCTGCCATATTTATGAACTTCCTCCTTGCAACTCCAAAATAGTGTCATTAATTCAGTACCACTCTTAACCTTATGTACATCTGTGTCTTTTCTTGACATGACTCTGACTTTTCCTGTGGCTTTCCAAGACCTGACTTTAATACCAGGCTATAAACAGTCTTTTCTCACTTTCCCAAAAGCTGGTATTTTTTTGCCTCCAAATTGCTCCCTTGGGCTCAACCTGTAAGCAGCTCTAAGATTGCCATTTGATATACTTTTTGTATGTCTGTACTATGATTTTCTATTTTTCCCATCAGTAAGAATCTGTGAAAGCTGGGGTCCCTTGGGTCCATTATCGATCAGTCATTTTGTATTCCCCATTCCCAACAAAGAATGTTGTTCTGTTGGGGTTTTTTATGGATGATAACTGTCTCTTTTGCTCTCGTAGATCCAGGTTTGCACAGGCAGCAGTTTTTCCTGCAGCGACCATCGAACGTGGTGGCCATGGAAGGGAAGGATGCTGTTCTGGAGTGCTGCGTTTCTGGGTACACCCCTCCCACCTTCACGTGGCTGAGAGGAGATGAAGTGCTCCCTGTCAGGTATCTCAGTTCTTTGTGGGTCGCGTATCTTAATTATATTTCCCTTAGCAAAGTACAGGCAAACCACTGAGTAATGCTTTAAATTCCATGGAGTGGATTTGGAGGCCATGAAATTTTCCTCCTAAATAATAATGTGACTGGATATGTCTCTTAACCTGCTGCTATAATTCATCTCTGCATCAAATCTGAGGGTGGACTTTGGTCATAAATGTCACCTGGTTGGTATTTAAAATGGAAGTGTAAAGCTATTAACAGCAAAAATCACAGCTGAGAAGTAGTTACAGCATAATTTACTGTGTGTAATTTGCTAGACAGAGATTGCACCTTAACACACTGTGGACATGTTATTAATGTTTCAGGTCCAAAAAGTATTCATTACTGGCTGGCAGTAACCTACTCATATCAAATGTGACTGATGACGATTCTGGGACATACACGTGCGTCGCCACCTACAAAAACGAGAACAGCAGTGGCTCTGCAGAGCTGTCAGTGATGGGTGAGTACACGAACTACGCCCACTTTGCTTTTCCAAGAATGTTTTTAATTATTCCCTTTTCCACACTGACTTAATTTTCAGAACTCCAAATAACTGCAGACTGTACAAGCCCCTTCCCTGCTTTGATCAGGTATTCACACCCATGGAAACCAAGTCCTGTAAATCTTTGAATACCTCCCACCATGCCTGATAGCCTTGCTGTCGCTGAACATCTTGTGGTATCAGATGCTAATTGCTACTGCCTTCTGTACATGGTCCTTTCCCTTAATTTCTCCTTCCTGAAGCCTTATTTTTGGCATTACAAAGGATGTCCTTGTTGTGCACAATGTCAAGCACAGTGTGAGTTGAAAATCAGTTTTGTAGCTGCTTTTTTTTTTTTTTTTTAATATCATGAACAGTCAATATGGTAAGATAAGAAAAACCAATGTATTTAGCATCTTCTCACCAATTTAACAAAAGTCCAAATAAATTCATAGAAGTCCTCACTCAGCCGTGATGCTCGGAGGGTTCCTGCTGTTAAATCTTACAAAAGCACCCTCCTGACAGAACCAGCTTTCCCCCATGCTCGTTCCTCATGGCAAATGTTAATGGAATCCGAAATATGCTTAAATCTAATAGCTGCCTTTTTTCTTTATTTAAACCATTGAATAATAGCAGAGTACATTAGTGTTATTCAGTCAGATCTAAAGAATGACATAGTTAATGCTTAGTCAAACAATAACATATTTCAATGTGCTGTTCATTTTGCATTCTGGCTTTAAAGCTTATGCATGAAAAATACTTTCATTAGTGAATAGAGCCTTAATTTGGATTATAGGATATTCAGTGCTTGTATAACAATATCCTTTTATCAAGCCATAATAAAATATAATAATTAGTGGTGATGGAGGGTTCAGTTCTATTTCTTTAGGTACATTAATGGAATACATTGTTTTACTGCATAAAAATTAAAATGTGGCTTTACAATTGTGGAAGTTCATTTATTATGGAATTGCTTTCATTATAAGAAATGGAATATTGAAAAGGCAGGTAAGTTGTTGGGCAATATACTTTGTTTGCCTTACTGAAACATGTTGATTTCAAATCTAGTGTGCAGCAGGCGACTAAGTGTTGTTTGAGAAGTAGAAATAAATTACACTGATATTTCTCCCCAACAATAGATTGCAATATCTATTGGTAACAGCAACTGTGGCTGGAGGATCATTGCATAGATCATTTGTGACCATGCAGGTCCCGTGAAAATTAATAGGAGTTTTACAGCTAGGTCCTTTATGTTACCTTTTGAAAAATTTATTCCTGTCTGCCTTCAGTCTGTAATGCATCTAGCTTTGACTTCATTATGCCTTCTGCTGTAAGCGTGTCATGTAGAAATTAAAGGTACATAAATTTTCATGCACATTGAGAGGTATGCGATGGCAATATGACACAACTGTAAGGATGTATATGAGGTGATGAAAATCTGCATGAGAAGATGACAGAATGCCAAGATAGGTCTAAGCATGAAACTAGACCAACACAAAGATGAAAGACGCTGCAATTGCTGATTCTGCAGTCTTAATGGGAAACCAAAACTGCATTGCCATAGCACAATCCACTTGTATTCACCCTCTTGGTAGATCAAAGATTTCCTTGGTAAAGTTTCTGTTCACACATGGAATCCACAAATACAGAACAAGTGGGGAAAAAACAAACAAACAAACAAACAAACAAACAAAAAAAAAAAAAAGGAGCTGTAACTTTGGCACAATATTGATGAACATTTCTTATTTTCATGAGTAGATCACTTATTTGTGACAGAATTAACTGAAAAAGAAACATCATGCTCACGTATGTTTGTATTAATAACAGAAAATGTTCAAAGGATTCAAAGGAAATTATGTGACTAAACTGGAGAGATGATGACAGCAATCTCCTGATACCTGTCTTTCCAGAGCAATGCACCAGGGCTACTGATTTGCTCAGAATCTGTTTTATTTGTTGAATCCATCCTTACCAGTAGGAAACTCTCAAATGCACTGATGTTTCTCATGTAATCATTATATCTCATAAACAGAATAATTAATTGATAGTTTTATTTTCTTCTTTGGCTAGATACAAATGTAGATATTTCTGTGTGTTTCCTTAGAGTTAATATGCTTGTTTATTTAAGAAACTGTAAGTTGACCATCAGTATTTTGCTTCAAGACTCACTTTTTTTTAATATTGATGTAATCCTTTAATTGTTAATGTATCTGTAGTGCAAAGAGGGATAAATGAGACATTTGCAGTCAGAGTGCACAAAAATTTAACAGTCCAATAATTATCTCCTCTGAAGTCTGAGTAGACAACAACAGATCAAAGTTAGTTACATCACACGGTAGCAAGATGCTTTTGATCTTTTAAATAATGAGGCTATTTTCTAGAAACAGAGCGTCTCACGATGGAGTTCCTATTAGTTCTTTTAAAGACCTAAAAATAACCCCTTCTGAGTTGGACATAGGTCTAGAATTGCAAGAGGTGAATGAATTTGCAAGAAAAGATAATATATTTTGCTAAATTTTAATTTTGTACCATGGCCTTTTACCAATATTTTTTGCCACATCTCCCTGTGTAATGAAAATTAAAAGGTCTGGTGCAGATTACCTAGTTACTGTATGAATCATCTGTGTGCTCAGTAGCTTTAGAGAGCTTAGTGTTTAAACAAATGTTTGAAGATGATTAAATGTGTTAACCAGTGTCAATGACAATTATTTTCTGAATATTTTCTAGCTTTCAGAATTGTATTTTGGGCTTGCTCCCTTTTGGCCTCTCAGAGTTTTACTTTTAATATAGCTTTTCTGTTTCATGTTTTGCTAAGCAAGACTGAAAAATCTGCTTAGCTGTTTTAGCAGAGAAGCCCCCTACCTCAGCTCCCTAAATGTTCTGAAAGTGACATAAATCCAGAAAAAAGTTTTCCATACCCTATAGCTACTTGTGGGATCTCACTCTGATTGCAGCCTGATTTGGTGGTTGGATAAATGCCTGTGATTTCGGGTCCTTGTAGGGATCTGGGAGAGATCAAGTGTCATATAAACCCAGTTTTATGTAGGTGCTCATAAATGAATTGACAGATTTGCTGATATGTTGTCATACATAATTTCTTTTTCTTCCTGCTTAATATTTTTGATTGTCCCTTAATTGTGTTAAAGAGCAAACTATAATTGAACTGATAGGGTTGGGGAAGAGCATTGCATCCTCTGAAATTTGAGAGTTTTGTCAACTATTCTTTGCATAATAATGCATATATTCAGAATTACCCTATCAATGCCTTTGGATCAGAAAGCTATTTTTAAAAAGGTCAAGACTGAGGTAATGCATTTCTTTAACTTACTTTTCCTTAAATGTCCCTTAAGGAGGAACAGAAAAGGGAAGAGTTTTCCAGTAGTGTTGGGTCAGAATGCTGGTTTGAGATACTTTTAGGTCACTGCCTAAAGAAATAAAATGTAGTAGCAAAAAGCAAAACAAACCAACCAAACCTTGGATCTGAAAGATGGTGTTTGCAGAAAAATACTGTTGCTAACTTTTACCAAGCATCAATATGTATAAGCTACAAACAACTTGACTGCAGTTTGGAAGCATTTTTTCTATGCAAATGCCTTTTACTAAGGAGTTTTTAATATGAAGCGGTTTTAACACTGGTTCTGTTTGCCATTGTGGAAGAAAAACTACATCAAAGATAAGGCCATGTGAGACAAGTAGCTTATAAAATCACCTAGGTCTCTTTGACAAGAATGAATGATTTTAAGCACCGTGCATGTTGGTCAAATCAGTTTTACTTCTGACTCTGCTGCATAAATTCCTGTAGCAAAATGGTTATTCAGAGATCAAGGTCACAGAAAGTACCGAATAAAGCAGGCGTGGATCATGTTGTTGTGTGTGAATCACTTAGGTAGAGAGTAGTATTAAGAAGGAAGCTTGCATCACCATAACACGTCTTGACACAGCAATGAAAGCATGAAAAATGAGAAGCCTTCTAACTTTTCCTTTGTGGGAGCTGCTTAAGCTGATCTCACACAAATGCACCAGTCCGCAAATATTTACAAAAACAATTATAGTCTATTGCTAGTGTTAAAAGCCAAACCCAGTGATGTACCCTATTGGTATATACTCATTGAAAAATAATTTCCAAAATACAGAAGAATATCCACTATTATAAACCTGTAGATAAGCAGGTAGATCTTCAGTGGCTGAACGTTGTAACAGCTATGCAGAAGCTGTTGAACCTAAAGAAATTCAAATAACCTGAGGATCTGTTTCTCTGTGATCCCACACTATGGGGTGAGTTAATTTTTGCTCGTGTCTTGCTATCTTGTTGAAGATACCAAGCACAGAATAGACTGTTTAATTATCCTCTGCTCTGAGTTTATAGTTCTTTATGGAACAGGGCATATGGATATTCAAGCTGGCAGGATAAAGCTGGACAGTAATCTGCAATAAATCTCATGATGGTTAACTTTAGGCAAAAATGAGACAAATGAATATCAAACCCAATCTCTCCCCAGAGCAAAGGCTGCCTTCTCCCATTAATTTTCCTGATAAGTTTCAATTCTGAAAAGTTCTCTGTAAATGGAAACATTGATACCATCCACTATGTTTCTCAACAGTATAACTTTGAGTCTGTGACATGGCAATGTAGGTTTTTCATCCCTCTCTCTGTTGAGTCAAGCAGAGAGAAGTGTCTGATGTGGTGCTCTTATGTCCTTCCCCAGAAGGTTGATGGAGCTGAGATACCTTATTCTCACTGAGATAAGAGAAAATTAATGGTACTGTCACCTGAAAATATGGAAGTCAAATATTTAAATTAAGCTTTGGATAGAGACTTCTTTTTCAGGGTGTTAATGTGGGACAGGCAACCCAAACTCTGTTGGAAATACTGGGTTTACCTGCTGAAATGTAACAAGGCTTTCTAAGATGAAGTTGCTGGACTAAATTAGATGGATCAATAACTATTTCTGTGTTCACTCCCCTTTATTTAGAGAATT